CTTTCTCTCTCTCTCTTTCTCTCTCTCTCTTTCTCTCTCTCTCTTTCTCTTTCTCTCTCTCTTTCTCTCTCTCTATTTCTCTCTCTCCTTCTCTCTTTTTTTCTCTCTCTCTTTCTCTCTCTTTTTCTCTCTCTGTTCCTTGTCTTCTCATCTCTAAAATTCTTTAAATTCCTACCCTTACATTAAAATCTTCCACAAAACAATATTTACCTCTATATCCATACCTTTTGTGCCTTCTCAAGATCACCCTGTTTTGATCCTCATCCTCCTTCTGAGCATTACCTTTTTTTCTTCTCATTCCTCTTATTTATTCTGCTTGTTACTCGGGTCCCCTCTCTCTTTTTTCTTCCCACGGCTTTGCCATACTCTTCCACCACTACCTTCCCTCTACCTTTTAATCTCCTGAATTCCAATCCCACACCAACTACCCCCTCTATCCAAATAGTCTGTCAGAAATACGCGGTTATCTTTATTCCACACACAACCGTTTTCCTTGATCTTTCATCTAGCATTTCCTTCCTTAAAGGAAAGGTCTCGTATATCTAAATTCGTGATTCTTTCAATTTATTTTTATTTTTAAACACCTGATGGTTCTGATTCTTACTTCCCACCTTTGGCTTAATGCCTTAATCACCTCCCTTTTCCCCACTTGTCTCCTCCTCTAAATTCACTTCAATCTCCGACTTACTCCTAAACCAATTTTAGAGCTCTTCCATTTTTCTCGACATCTGATCCAATTCTTTCATAATAGTATTTGCCCCCTTTTTCTTCCTTCATCTCCATTTCCATGGTTCTAATCATTCGATCCTCTTTTATTTGTCTCATTCTATAACAATCATGAATCTATCCACATTTTCTTTCTTCTTCTTTCCGTTATCGCTTCATCTTCCGTTACCTCTCCAACATTTTTAATCTGGTAAATTTGTTTCCTAAATATAAAAAATTAATTTATGTCTATAGACGAGTTATGAGGGTACTTGTAATAACGAACGGGATGATAATTCAAAAGCAGTATTTGGTGGTGTGACGAGCCAACAACACTACAAGCTTATTCTGAAAACACACAAGTCCTGTACGGGACAGGAACCCGCAGCATTTGGCTCCGCATAACTAAGTCACACTCCTAGCGACACAGAAATCGGCAATGGGTGCGCATGCATAAAGAGAGGTGACGTGGTTGGTTACAAAACGTTATGCTGCTTTAGGCAATTCAAAGGAAACTATTTCTAAGTGCCAACTACATATGTTGAAGAGTACAGTTCTGTACATGCAGCACTACTAAACACACACATACGCAGGTGCCAACTGGCATTCGATACTTATTTGTCTATGCAACAAAATTGAAAGGGTTTCACACTGGCACGAGAAAATGTGAACTCTACTTAATGGTATACAGATATCAATGAATCTTATGAAAATAGAACATCAGATATTAATGAATTTAAATGAAGTCTCAAGAAGCGTAATGAGTTTCGCTTAGACAAATCAGAAGAAAGGGTTCTCAGCTGCCTTTCGGGTGTTCTTAATATTGGCTTATGCAACAGAATTAAAAGGATTTCGAACTGACTCGAGAAAATGGGATCTGTAATGCAACCGAACACTCCACCAAAATTGTCGCGGCGCGCCGGGCATTTAGCAGCTCTTCCGACCCCAATTGAGCGCAGCTCAGCGTCAGCGTCACCTCGAGTGCCCGACAGATTATCGCCGATTCACTCTCAGCCCTGTCGAGTTGGTTTTATTTGCTTTCATTCCAAATGATCCGCTTGGAAATTCGGATTTATGAGAACATGAACATATTGACGACAAAAAGATGAGATCAAAGTTTGAGGGTTTTTGTTATTTAAGGTCGCATCAACTACTAGGTCATTAGCGACCACTATTGCTTGTAACGGTATGGTAACTGTGGGTTGACACGATAATGATGATGATAGGGGGTGAAAGGACGAAACACAATACAACCATGCCCGAGGCGGGACTCGAACCCGCGATCCTTCGGTCCGAGTTCGCTACGGCACTACTGCCTTAGCGATTGAGTTTCTTGAAACATGAAAAACATATATTCTCCAAACGTGGAGTTACTATTACTTGCACTTTCACAAAAAATTAAATCCTCATCTCCCGTAAGCAAATTTGGTCGAGATGAGTTCCTCCTCGTACTACTATTCAAGCAGAAACTGGTAGCTCTTCCTCTTAGAAAATTTTCTAACAGAATATCGTAGCTCTGCTCTTGCGAAGCCTTTCAACAGAAGGAGCTCTTACTTTCATTGCAATTTTGAACAACAGGGTTCCGCAACGGACCACCAGCCTTCCGCCCGCTGCTTCCCTCGTTTTCGGCCTTTCGACCAATGGCCATTCGCAATTCCTCATCTGGGTATCATCATTTTCGTGTTGGCCCGCGGCGGTTCCACCTCGCTTGACCGCCGCGCCCGTAACATCGTGACGTCGCCGCCGTTTAAATTCACTATGGACTTAATTCGGTATGGACTTAAATTCGGACGGAAATAAATTCGGTATGGACTTCACGTCACGAATTCTTATTTTGGGGCCTGTATCTGACCTCCGCTGATTGTCAACGGATATCAACATTAAATTTGCTAAATGCATTGAATATTAACAAAGCAAACGAAAATCAATTAAAGTCTACTTATTCGTGCTGTAGTAGAATGAAATGTATACTGTATGTGAAATGTTTCAAAAATAAGGAACAATAAGTCGTACAATAACAACAATTTCCTTTAGGCTTTGTCACAATATTCCACAAGTCACACTTGTACCAGAAACATTGCCAAAGTTATCGAAGCGCCAGAAGAGTAAACCAGCCCATTTCCTAGGTAGGCGTACACCAGTTGATGTTCCATACCGTAGCTCAGTCACCAGAGTTCAGACGGGACACAAATCAGTCGAAAACACCGTCGGCGTAACAGTTCACACTTAACGTAGCGCACTCATTTCGCGAATAACTTCCAGGGCACTGCTCAACAGCCCTCTCGTGGCGCTTGTTAGTCGATTAAATAGGAGGCGCCCCTTTCAGTCGGCACTTGCTCGTGATGCTAGAGCGAGTCTTGCTTACTACAACTCCAGCTTCCTTCCAAGAGCGAACTTAAATATTCGACGAACGCAATTGATATTTTCTTCTCAATACAAAAACTATCAACAAATATCATTACAATAGTATTTTTCGTTCTTCGTCCAACAGTGGTAGCGTGAGGTAGTCAGAGCATCCCTGGTAGAGTTAGTAAGTTGGCATTTCTGCTTGCATTACAGTAAGGTGCATAAAATGCACTAAAAATAAAGAATTAATTCTTATGAAACGTGCTGTTCCAAATATATTTTCCCAAATATTGATTCATTAAATACATTAATAAAGTAGAAGAAAAATTGAAGGAAGAATGAAAAATTGGTTCGTTAATTTGTTAACTATGCTCTCTGAATCAGACTTGATAGAAGTTTTAGATTTAAGTTTTCCTTGGTATGTTTTCTTTCGGTGTTGAAATAGTCCTGGTTAATGGCAAGGCATTGGGTAATAACATATTTGTGTCAAAGCATTAAAGTTTACGTGAATAGGTAAAACACTGCGATAAGAGAAATATAAAAATTGTAACAACGAATTTTCGCATTTTAGCGAATTCATCCCGAGTTTGGATTGAGAGTATAAGCTACAACACGCTATGGTGAGATCATGGTTGGAAATATAAGCCATTTTATATGTCTAACAAAAATATATCTATATAAGGTTCATTAGTTGATGCTACACCCAGAAAGAGAACTAGCACTAATTTACGTATGGTACTGTAAGAATAAAGGTCCTGAGGGTGTTTTTCATACCCGAGTACTACTATAATTGTGTGATTGTACGCTGTGTGTACACTTATCTTATGAGTCGTAAGAGAGCACGCCCTTAAGCGCTCATCCACCCCTGACTTCGCGAATTTTCTCTCTTCTTTCTTCGTACAAGAAAGGAAATATTTACATTCGAAAACTTTTATGATTTCGAAAAACTGTACAAAATATCCCCACTTTAAATAATCTACGAAAAATTATAATATCCGTTTCAAATTCTAAGCGCCTTACGATCTGAGAGTATCATCGGTGAATATACATTTTCAAAAACATCTTGTGTACAACTTAGGCACTAATGTTGTTTATTTGTATTTCTTTACGTCAAAACTGAGTGTAATTCATAGGGAGAAGTACAATTTGTGCACGTTTTCTTTCTCTGAAATCCCTCTCTTTACTGTACTTGGTTGAATTGTAGTATAATGATAGCAACGATTGTTTTTTGGTAACTAGAAATATTCGCCCCTAAAACAGAATATATGTTCACGTAGTATTTAAATACTAGCTACAAATCTTGACTGAGCCCATATCGTCTTCCACGCGAAGGAATCGACTCACTACCGCAAGGACATAGTGATTATTTTAAAATAGGGTGAAGAAATAACGAAACTTCCAACTATTCCAAAAGTATCCTTTCTGCTAGCGATGTCGCATAAAATTTTGAACTTTTGGAACTCAGGATGTACAAAATGTAGGAAGTGTAATAGAGGGCAGTGCTGGGTACAGAATGCGGGCCACCGCAGCGTCCTGCGTTCCTCCTCCACAACAGGAAGGATGTTGGTCTCCTTTCACAATTCTGCTTCAAACATGTCGCATAGGCACTGTCCTACCGCAATGTTCCGAGCCTCGTTTCTCAACAAATACGAGTTCACTACTGACACTGTAACTCACGCGAATAAGGGCCACCAGGATTCACAATCATACTAACAACCACTAATAGTTGCAAGTGAATGCCTACTAGTTCTCGAGCTACTGGTCAGCCGCCGCCCCGGACACTGCGCCCGCGACCCTGCCGCCACTAAAGATGTCCACCGCAGACGTGGACGAAACGTTTGGCCCAACTATTCCAACTGGACCATGGCCTACCAGCCCGGAAAATCTACTTTCCACTCTCGTCTGTGTTCGATTACACCCGTATGACGCCACAAAACATGGATTTTCGGTACACCACATGTTAGAGGAAGGTTATTACAATATATAGGAAAAATACCTATTCCCTTGTAACCTTGTTTTTATTACCTTTCTCAAATTTAGTTTCTGCCTGTTCGACATAATATGCCTTTCAGGGGTTTTAATATACAAATTATTACTACCGATAATTTTGGCCTTTCGCTAATAGTATTTGAGGAGGACCACATAACTACCTCGTAAACAAATTCTGCAGAGCAATAATACAGTGGAGATTCTTTTAAGTTTTATATTTAGTTATTTGACGTTTTCGGCAGCAGAATTGGTTAATGGGGGGATTGAAATGATTCTAATTTGTGGTGGTTTAAGAGAGACTTTGGGGTATTGGGAGATAATGCCGGTTGGAGTGGAAGCATTTTTGCCTAGATTAAATATTTGTGCACTTGCATAAGATGGAAGAATGGTGAAAAATCTGTTGCTCATCTGTTGAATGTATTCATTAATTGGAGGTATATTTAGCTCTCTGTGTATTTGCTTATTTGACATGGACCAAGGGGCTTTTACAGCTTTTCTTAAGTACTTGTTTTGAATCATTTGTAGTTTCTTCAGATGTGTGTTCGCAATATTGTTTTAAATTTGACAGACGTAAATTAATGAAGGAGGTATTATCGTTTTAAAGATGTATAATGCGCATTTCAGACCAAGCAATGACGTCATTTATTATGGGGTAAAATTTGTTAATTTTTGCGTATGTTTTGTCCGTTATTTTTTGAATGTGGTTTTTCCATGTTAATTTTTGATCTAGTAATACACCCATATATTTTACGGGTGTTTCATTACGACCCCATGGATCGTAACTTATTATTAATATCCAGTATTATTAATTTTAATTTGTCGTGGTTGATGTATTTTTCTTAATGATAATATTTTAGGATGTGATTTGGTAGGGTTTGTGGAAATTCTCCATTTCATTGTTCATTTGACAATTCCGTTTAAGTCTGACTGGCGATTTTTGCAAACGTTGGTAATATTTGAATTTGCATTAAATAATACTGTATCATCTGCCTAAAGTGCTATTTCTGATTAAGTCAGTATATTACCGTGTATATATGTAATATGTATGTGTGTCAACAATAAGAGAGATAGTTGGGAACCTTGTGACACGCCACCTTTGATGTGTCCTCTTGAATTATTGTTGTTAATAGTAACTTTCAAATCCCTCTCTCACAGGACCCTTTTATTGACACTTTGAAGATAATCGGGGGTTCCTAAGGTTTGCAATTTGTAAAGTAGTCCAAGATGTCACACATTATCAAAAGCATGTGCAATGCCGAGAAAAATTGCAGTTGTTACCTTTTTGCCATTCTATAGCACCACTAGTTCTTCTGCATTTGTTAGCAAGAGGATTTATCCATTTTTTCCTTACCAGGGCCCGGCAAGAGTTTTTCTGTCGAAAATCCGCCGTTTTCTGGCGCACGATTACATAATTTTTCTCTTCTTTCAAAGTTAAGTACAAGAAAGTAAAAACCTGTTCGAGATGGGTGACATTGACCCCAAAACTGAGGTATATTACTTGTTATAAGCATATTTAGTCTTTTAGATTAGCACAGTCTAAATTGTAACTAATTCATTAAATATCATCGTTAAAATCAATATTATTGTTGCTTTTTGATGATGATTAATATAGTCTCGAATTGCAGAGAAACGGATATGTAGAAGAAACAATTTTACTTGGAATTTAAACTTGCATATCGATTTTAATCGGTTAAAATGATGTGGCAGTGTTTTAGATTACGTAGAAGAATTGTACAAATAATAAGCTAATATCACCTATCACTTTACCCTCAATTTATTAAGCTAGAGTTTTTAACATTGACTTACCCCTTTATTTATTAACCCGTGTATTTTTTTCTTCAAAAATGACTTACTCAAGAGCAGAACCATGCGAGGTTTGGGTCATATTTAATGATTTTTTTAATACGAGCACGGGCGGAAAATGTGAAGTATATCCATGAAAGGACAATGAATAGACTAAGTGCATGCACCTTTATCGACTCACCAAAATTGTGTTTCTCATGTTTATTAAGGTATTTAATATGACAGTGCCGGTTTCATTTTCCAAAGCATTTTAGCTTATATGAGTTCACAACATTCCAAACATTTATTATATACCCTTTCTAAAGGCCCGATTAGGCAGATGCCCATCCCATTACCGCACGTGCCACATCGGTCCGCACAACTCCCAGGTCGTCTCGTGCGTTGCTGATTACTGATTGCCAACAATTCTCGAATAAACTCTCCTGCCCATCTCACAACTGTCCGTTATGGAAGGGCATGAATCCCAAGAGCTTCCACCAATTCACCGTGATTTAAGGAAGCGGAATATTTATTTTTTTGTTTACCGGTTAATTTGAGAATTACATAGAAAGAAGTTCGGGTAACAAATGTCGAGTCGAAACTTTTTGGGAAAACATCTCTTGTGAATGTTGTGGCTTTAGATCCTTAGTGAAATCAACCGCAATTCTCGAATGTTGATTGAAGAGACAGGCCACTGTTGTCTGATCGTTCACTACTCTAGCATATATTACATATAGGAACATGATTTATCCACCTTTCCGTTACCAAGGCCAAAAATAAGTTTTTCTGTCGAAAAGTGCGATTTCCACCACACGGTTACTATTTGTTCTCTTTACGTACTTTCTCTCTCATATGTAGACGAGAAAGTTAAAAGTTGAACATTTCCTCTTGCAATTTTTAAAAATCCAGACATTTGCATTGTCTTTATTTCGAGATTAGTTTTAAAGAACAATTTCATTAAGAAAAAATCCCTATCATCTATGTTGTCGTTTGGCAATGTTATTTTATTGTTTGCAATACTTTATTTTTACTATGTAAGTACGTAGTAAGGTGCGACAGTAAAATTATAGTAGAAGATGCAATTGCCGAGGAAAGCTATTTAATGAATAATTATTAGGCATTTCTCTCCTGCCTGAAAGTATTGAACTTGGAGATACAACTTTTTCTTGGACGATATAACTTTTTCTTTTCGTTAAAAATTATTAATTGCAAAACATCGATAACACAATATCTATCTTTAAAATGAGTTGATGTTCACGATACATTATTGGCTTTCGTAGTGTTTGTCTTGGCTTTTGTTTGTGAATACTTTATCGCATTTGTTTATTATATTAGGTACTTGCGTATTGCTTTACGTTTTTATATTGAAAATATTAGTAGTTTCATAAAGTTTTTGCGTTAAGGATTACATTTTCACGTATCATATTTTACTAGAAATAAAAAATGTCATTCAATAACGAACAACAATTAGTGCTTCCCGCCATTTTAGTCGTAGCTAGTTTCTTGAACTGCGCAATTTAGCGATTGTCACCATTTTGGAATATTACATCCCCGTTTTCAACTACAGAAATTTTCAATGGATCCGCAATTTCAAAATGGTTTTCTGTTCTTACTCAACCTTGCATGGAGGTGCCGATTCAGGCTTCCTTTATTAATTGGGCTAACATTTATGATTTTAGACGTTCGTATGCAATTAGATGTAACTGTTGACGTTGAAAGGCGAAATTTGAATGGAAACATAGTTCAAGAGGAAAACGAAGAAGCACAGTCGGATAATTAATTTTTCGAATAATGTCTTCGAGAAAATGTAAGCATTGTGTGGTTTTATTTTAAATTCGGTTTCAAATTGATTTTTTATCGTAAATCTGCATAGTAGACTTTAACTAGTACTACTATTAAATATACTGTTAGACAAATCAAAACCTATCAAAATGTAGGATCTTTGGATAAAATTACAAGATTGCTTTAATTTATTAAAGCAAATTGCTTTAATTTATTATCAAGATTGCTTTGATTAAACAAGATTGCTTTCATTTATATTTACCCCCATGATTTTACTGTCTTGTGATGATGAATAAAAAACACAGTTATGCTAGGTAGTACTTCTTGTAGATATTTTTTGGGAGAAAACATTGATTTCCAACCGTTTCCCCTCCTGATTGCATCATACTCATAAAGTGAACAATTAGGATATGTAAATTCACTGAAGAAAAGGCAAGGAATGCCATGCATTTTTGTGAAAAAATACAAGTGTGGAGATAACTTGCACATTCTGTACATGTGCATGTGAGCTCTTTATTAGATATAAGCCGATATGACCTATACCAGAGGAACTAATAATTTCATTAACATACAAATCTTGAAAAGGTAAATTATTGGAAATACATTTTCCTCTTCTGAATAATAATTGAAATAATAATTTAAGTGAGAATGAATGGAAATGGTTGTGACTTTCATATTCTTTAGGAGGAAAAATAACAATGAAAAATATTTTATCAATACCGATGATTCATAAAAACATTAACTTGACAACTCATCCCAATCAAAATGAATATTACAGTTGTATTTCTTAGATTATATTTGGTATCAGACAACTTGGTCCACATCACTTGTTTAATGTTATTTATTTTTTAGTTAAAGGACAACGATGTTTAACATGTTATTCAATTTCAAGTTTTGTTGTTGTGGTGGTGGTTGTTTCTTATTGTCATCTTGACTGTTAATATTTTTGCTGGAGGACATTTGAAACCATACCTAACACAGTTTTAAACATTGTTTTTCACACTCCTATTTCTCAAAGAATACTATATTTCCCAGCTCCCCAGCAGGAGCCCAGAAAAATCTCATCCAAGTTGAAAAGTGTTTCATTTATGAACTGTAAGGTTGAGAGAAGAATACTGGGTGATTTAAAAGTTTTGTTAAAAGTAGGGCAGTCCTTGATAGTTGGTTTTTAATTTATTTAGAACTTGCTAATAATGAAAAGTGAAAGGAGCTCCAAAAGATTACTTCACATTTTTTTCATTATAAACATTGTTATGTTTATATTTGTGACACATTTTAAACATTATATTCTTCTATGTGTAATGAAAATCTTGAGAAACTATTGAAATTCATTTTGCATTGCAATGGAAGTTTGAATTTAATCTTTCTTTTCTTTCAAAATATATTAATTAAAAAAAATTTTAGATAAATGTCAATAAACAATAGATAGCTATAATTTAATTATCTATTAAGCAGAAGTGTGTTGAATTTACAAAATTGTTTAGTTTTTACAATATTGTTTTTGATTTATACAGATAATTATTAGTTTGTGATGTATTCTAGGCAAGAACAACATTAATTGAGAAGTTATTAAAATTTAATGAGGGATGTGGTCCAGACAAAATTTGTTCTCATATAATGAATATGTGAGTCATTCCATGAAAAGAAGCCCTGAGTTAGCAATGGAAATTTTACGGAATAAAATACAAAGTGTCTGGGGTTAAAAAATTGCATTTCTAGGTGTTGGATTCTTGCGTTTCCCACTATAGGTCTTGGTAACAAAATTACTAAGGAAGCAGTTCACTGCTATCTCTTATGATAAATTAATACTTGCTGTAATTGGGGCTTTGCCCTGTTGTGGGTTAATAAATAAATAAACAATAACGATTTTTTGAATGAATTTTACCAGTGAAAACATTGCTTTTTTCAAAACAGTGTTTTTAATTTCAGCATTCAATAATAAATATCTTATGAAGTATTGCATTTAGAAGCAGTAACATTATTCCCCTCAGTATCTTACGAACCACAGAAATATCAAAATAGAAGAATCCGTTTTTAATTCTCCTTCAAGTAATGGGTTACATTTATACTATTGATTCCCAACATTTTTTAATCTTATCACAAAAGAAATTTTCTTGTCCTTCAATATTTCTAAGAGATTCTTTATTTCTTTGCCGTATGCGATTGTCAAATTCAATACCATCTCTTTGGAAAAAAAATGAATAACAATTTACGAATCATCTGTAATCTTAGGGAACCATAATAAACAAATTCAATTTTACCGCTTCACAAGCTGTTGAACATTTGAATATAAAATATATTTTGTAATTGCTAAAAAAATAGTATCTTTGCCATAAATCAATGCAATGTGAGTTCGATAAAAATATAATGACTAAATAATTATAAAAGAATGATTTTTTATTCATAATATGTACTTCTTAAACTTTTATGAATGACATTATTGTTGGTGACCCTGGGGACAGCTGTACACATTCGTAGCGGTTCGTGAAATTCCACGTGTGCTCAACAGTGCTCAGTGTTGGGTAGTTTCTTTGAAGGTATAGTGCGAGAGGCGTGTGTTGTCATTCTAGAGAAATACGCACGTTAATCGTGGTATACTGTCAATTCTGTTTATGAAAAATTACCCTTAATGTGAGTATTGTCATATTATGCTTTACCGTTTTCGATCAGCTAATATTGGTTGATCATATATTTGGTATTAAGTTCCTCTGAGATATAACTGTTTCGCCGGTAGAGAAACCGACTTCAATTTTATGAAGTGTCACTATGACATACGAATAAGGGGCCATTCTGACAAGATAGAAGACAATGACTATTATGATGAATTGATGCCATACATTTTGTATATTGTATTATTCTTATTTGGATCGTGAAAGCTATGTGCATAGTAGTTGAAATAATTAGCGTGTGTTTCATGTAACACAAACAAATTGTCTAAGAAACTTGTTTCTCTTACTTTTCCAGTTCTAAAATGCAAAATTTACTTGTCATTGGTTTTTCTCTACTCTGCCTTGTTTCGGCCTACCAGGATCCCAAAATTGACCACAGGGAAGTTCGATGTTTAGGTAAGTTACACTGTCATAATACATTTATCATAATTGTAATATTACAATTGTATGAGAGGCCATATCATGTAGCTGAATTGTCCTTGAAGAGGTGTTGAATAGGCAAATGAGAACCAAAAACTTATTTTAGAAAAGTAACTTTGACATGTATTATGTACTATGGATAATCTTCTTGAGGTATAAAAAAGATGATAGAGAAGTCTTTGATATTGTCCATTTTTAAATTTTATTCAAGGTAATATCAGATATTGGATTTGTAATTGTCAGCTTTTGCGTACAGTTCATGGCAATTGAGAATTCTGTTCAGTAATGCTAATGAAAACTGCTTCGGATTTGAAAATCTCTAGTAACACTGCAATAATTAATCATTGTAATATATACTTTTTAGACATTAATTATAACATAGTTATTTACAGCCCAAGAAAATAATGGCAGTTGCAGGCAACAGACAATTTTTAATAATTTTGTTTATTTCAGAACTTATATAATTATTATACTTCCAGAGCATCCGCAGTGAGACCTCTTGCTTCCTTTTTTTATTGTTTTCTTTTCAAAATTGGAAATGTTTTGATTGTTTTTCATATTGAATTGAAAGAGTATGTTTATTGATTTCAGTATGTAAAGCAGTAGTTGATGAAATGGACAAAGCAGTAGAAAAAGTTGATCCTAAAAGAAAAGTAGATATTGGGGGTTATCGTTTGGATTCATATGGAAACAAAGAACAAAAACAGGTGAGCAGTAATTGAATCAATCCTCCTTATATTCTTTCTTCAATTATTCTTGATTATTTTCTTTTCATATCCCTTCCCAAAAGCTAAAAATTCAATCTAAAAGATCTAAAAACTAGAAGTCTGCTTTTGTTTTATAACTATATTTTCATTACTATTTTATCATAGTATCATTAAATACCTTTTTATTACTATGTAAGAATATTACTCTAGCTATCAATAACATTTTTTACGCAAAGTGGTTAAATTTTTATAACACTTTTTTAAAATAATTATTGTCGGTATTAAATTGTCCCATAAATAAACTTCCTTAGATAAGGAACAATCAAACATTCATTATGTAAATGATGTTTATTTCATTACTTCATTTCATTAACAAATATTTGATTTTTTCCTAATCCAAAGAAGTTAATTTATAATATAAATTAGTTAAAAAGTTCTTTATTTTTCTCCTTATCGTTCATGTCTGGGTGGTTCCAAACATCAGAAAGGAAATTTGTAAGACTGGTGTTCAAAATCACATTTAAAAACATCTCTATTCAGGAGCAGTGTAAACTCACTGGTTTTCATCAGGAAAACGCTCTACTGTCAACGTTGACCGAGTCTAACGTGGCTTCTTGCTTGTGCACTCTTTCATACTGTGAGCTCTCCCATGTTTGCCTGGTGATTGGGACAATATATCTCCAAAACTATTGCGAATAATATGACCAGACTCAGGAAATAAGGAATTGTTTATGTTAGTTGTCTGTATATAAGTTATTTACGAGGCTCCTTACCTTTAAGATTGTAAAAATACCATACACTAAGACAGGCTAATTCCAATTCTAAAAGAAGAAAAAATCTGTTGAATAATTAAGATTTATGATTGGTTCATTAAACATGAATGAAAGGTAACAAATGTTCAGAAATGTGAAGTTTTTTAAAATTAGATGTGCCTTTCAGGTTCAATATGCTCGCTCTGAGCTTCATCTCACAGAAGTTATGGAAGAGGTGTGCAATAAAATGGATGATTACGTGCGAGGCAGATTCAAAAGTAACAATGTCCTCACTCTCTTGAAACTCATTGACGATAGTGGCAGTATGAATCCATTGATGAGTGAAGTTGATCTCATCCAAGATTCAGACCTGAATAAGAGTCTCAAATTCTATGTGAGTGGTAGATGTGTGCATATATTTCCTATAGTATTTTAAGCTACAATATTACAGCTTCTATTTAGACATGTTTAATAATTGTTTATATTCATTCATTCTTATCTTATTAACTATTGGAGAATACCTGTTATAATTAAAGGTTTTTCACTGTAGTTAATTTAATTTGTCTTTTTCAGTGTGAAGGTATCGTTGAAGAATTCGAAGAACCAATTCTTAAATTATATGCAGACCATGCTGAAAATATGAAAACTCGTTTATGTGTAGATTCAACTAATCTCTGCCCAAGCAGTACAGATGAAGACAATGATACTGAATCAGATTATTTTTCTGAGGAAAGAGATGAACTGTGAAAATTTCCTATTTTTATGTTTTGAAAAAAAGTGTTCTCCTCTAAAATGTTCACACTCATTTTTTGAAAATAATTTTTAAATTTTGAATTAATGGAAGAAACAAAAATGTTGCTGTCTGTTATTGTTCAAGGCAGAAAGCTACTTGTATTTCAAAATTTTGTTTCACTGATGAATTTCATTAATCCTTGATTTCTGTGATTTCATGCTCAGTAGTAAGCAGTATTTTCCAGGCATTGTAATAGTTGAATGAGCTATCGTGATCTTGTATCAAGAAAAGAACAGTATTTGTGTGTATTGTAATATGTTGGGTGAAATATTAAATTGTATTTAAATTTTCTCAAGTGTTTTTTATAAAATGGGTAGAAGAGCAGGCTTGATGGCTTGAACCTTGCCAAGTATAATAAGGCATTATTAGATTAGATAAATTATTTGCCATTGCTTTGTTTTGAATTGTAATTGGAAGAATGGCAAATTTTTTTTGAATGCATATAAATTGGTATTGCAATTAACAATGAAGTCCCAACCAATATGCAATATATATTGGATAAATTTTATTAATATTTTGATATATTGGTTTCTTTTGATTTGAGGTCCAGGATGATAGGAAAAATAATTTAGTATTAATAGACTGCGTTGGTTTGCACAATTCAAAACCAATATGTGATAATTTGTATATGACAATATTCTTGTTCCCGAATTACTTGTATATCCATATTCCTTTCACAGTGCAATATAAATTCAATCGTGTCATTCATAGAAAATGCCAAATCAAATACAAGAAACGAATAAAATATTGAATCCAAAACTTGGATTGGTGTTATTGGTTTTCACTGTATAAAGAAATATTACTTGAAAAATTATTCAAATATTTAAAAATTGCACATACATCATTAAATTTTGTAAAAGCAGTATGTGTACATGGCAAGGGCAGTGTCATTCATATGGCTTGACTTTTGATCAGAAAAAAATTGAATTGTGACATAGATCTCACTCCATTATAAAATTGTATGGTTCTATTGAAGTGAAGAAAGAGGGGTGTATTATTTTAGCATTATCAGTTATGCGTGAGTGAATATCAAAAAATTGCATGTTTTGTATTCATTCTCAGAAAAGTTGTGTATTTTGCTGAATGTAGTTTCTACATCAGTGCACTCATTGTTTTGAATAATTAATTTGTGGAATTTAAACTTTTCTAGATTAAACTTTTTTTCATTTATTGAGATGTAAAACTACATTTTTATACATAATGTATTTCTTCCAGTCATTATTATTCATTGATTGTTCTTAATTCTTGTTTGTAGCAGTTGTTTTGTTGGGTTTGGATTGAGTGTTGAAAATGCAGGAAGTGATCTAAGGATATTTAAGAGTCATGTATGCAAGTGCTTCATTTTTTTGCATCATTTTTATTTATTTTGTAGGTTGTGAAAATGATATAACAATCTAAACAAAATGAATAGAAAATTGTAGTTTTGTTTGATGGAATTTTAGTACATTGAAGTAACTTAATGATCCTTATTTCCTAAAATGATGAATGACTTGATAAAATCTCTTATTGAACTAGAGTGATTGTGTGTTGTCAGAATGTTCAACATGTTGAACTTGAGAGTACAAACTATTGTCTATTGCAATACTTCAGTATGTAATTTACAAAATTTGATGGAAAGTCTAAAAAAATTCCACAATAGTGTGTTTGGATTTCATTTAATTTCCATGTGACACAAATAATTAATATTTCCCAATCAAATTATTTTTATATACTTCAAATATTTTTTAAAAGTATTTTTTTACTGAATGTTTACATTAACAAGAAAACATATGTTGAAATAAAAAAAAGCTTCTTAAATACACAGGGTTGATATATTAGAAGTTTTAGTCCTAGGAGCGCTTGCTAAAGAAGGAACGAAACGGTAATGGAATATGTTTTGTGCAAGTGCACCAATTTTGTTGTGTTGGTGCTAGAGAGATATGGTTATAAACTGTGAATAATATTGTTTTATTGATGGAATGTTTATTTCAGTTTGACATCCAGAAGAACATTCCTAAATAGTGTATAGTGCTGATTATTAAAAAATGGGGAAATGGGAAGTTTGAGGTGAATTTTATTGTAAACTGCAAAGCAGTGAATCATCCCTTACTGAATGGAAGTAAAAAAGTTCCTTGAAGCGGTAAATGGTGACCATTTCTGAACTATTATTTTCAAACCTGTGGAAATACAGTGGGTTCTAGCTAATTTCATCATTCATTTTTTGATGTGATCTAGAGACGTCTCTCTTAAACTTCTGATTTGAACCAATGAGGAAAATTGATATATATTAATGATTAGTTTTCTTTAGTATCTGAAATATTGAAAGGAGGACAGTTGTGTAAGGTTGTGAATTTCTGGATACTAACAAGTGTTTTCAAATGTTCCAAATAACTGTGCAATCACACTATTCTATTGTATGGCCCAAGACAGAAGAGATTGCTGAGAAGCCATTGAAATAAGCCGTCTTTATTTGAATGTTTATTACACATTTTCTCATTGATTTGAATTTTAGAAAAAGCAGATTGTTTCCAAGTACCTCTTGGTGTTCAATGTATATTATCAACATATTCATTCTTGAGATTGTGAACAAATTTTTGCACATTCCCAGACAACTGTTGACAATAATAATGGGTCCTATGGTTAACTACAATTTTTTCCCTAATGTGTATTTTTGTATATCGTAGTTGTAATTGGGGATATTCAACTTCTGATCCTTGAAGTATCGATACTTGTGTTTTCTATTAAATGGAATAGATATTTTGAATGGTTGATCCATACCAAAAGTGACATGTGATTACTAGCCTATTATAAATTGATTGTTTCAGTCATTAACATTTTATGCAGTTGTTTCCTGCATTAATGAACTGATGCTTAGAGTAAAAAATGTTGACTTTTTGATGCTTTTCTTTGTTGTTGGTATGGATACCAAATTTTATTCCAGCCAAACTGTTATATCCCTGGTTATAACAGTAATAATAAGTGAAGCAATTTCAGGCATAACTCCAGATTTGAGCAATTGCCTGTTATCATTGAACTTGCATAATTTCTTTGGTTTCCATGTTGTTTCACTTCATAATATAAGAAAACAAGTGATGTTAAAGAATATTCTATGCTAATAAAATTCTGTGCTCAAGTCCTTTCAGTGTAAATAGAATAGATGAATTGATGAAGATAGGATGTCTGACAAGTGTTATCCAGATGCATTTATCAAGGAAATTGTTTTTCATTGTAGAATATTCTTTTAAATCCAAAGCAAGAATCAGAATATATGTGTTGTGTGATAGTAATGTGTCAGGAGTCTGAATAGTTGGTAGTATTTTTTATGGTTGTTTCTGTTGTTACCGTAATATCAAAAGCATACGTTCTTCTGTTAACGGTGTTTATGCTGGCATTGATTGGTTGTGAATTTATGTTTTTGGATAAATTTGAAACAAAGTATATTTTGATGTAGTTTTCAATAAAGTATTATTACAAATTTGTCCAACAAAATCTCTAAAAATTTCTTGTCTTCCATGTTTAATAGTAGTTCTTGGAGGCTATTGTAAATGTTCCCTGAATCGCTTAGCTGCCTCATTGAAACAGGAAACATATCAACTTGGAATACCCATCCTCATCTCTGAGCAGCATGCACAAAATCTTGAATGCAGAGCGCTGTTAGTGCCTTTTAATGTTAATTTGTTAAAAAGCTTCACACTTGAAACACTTCTTGTTATGTTTACAATTTCAGTGAGAAAAAAACAACATAAGAAACAGTTGAAATCATCCAAAAAGTTTTTTCACTGTAAGCAGATGAAATCTAAACATTTGTACAAGCTTCATGAATAATTTTGATTAACAATTCTTTTCAAATAAATTAATGATAGTTATTCCTTATGATCATAATAGTTCTTGCTATTTAACAATATTAACATTGGCCCTCTCTAGGTGCTCATAGTATTTTTGATCATATGGAAACTGAGATAACAACTCATCACATTTCGTCAGTGACTGCACTAGCCTATGTGTTGATGAGGATTAGTGCTGTGTTGTGAGGGGAAGCAACTGTCCTGTAGCAGACACATGCCCATTCTCATCCCATCCAATTACCAGGCCCCAATGACCATACTAGTTGAAATGCCCCAAAACCTCAAACTACTGATACAAAGTTTATTTTATAAAGTATGCCATAAAAGAGAAACAAAACACACAGTTAAAAAATTATTGGTCTCAAATAATAGAAACATGTAGTATCATACTAGTATAATATAAATGAAAGTTTTATTTATTGTAGTAAATATCTGCAATTATTTTTGACAGAAAACTTGTTTTGTGGGGCTTTGGTATAAAAGAGTGGATAAACTTGGATCCTACATGTAGTAAGTTACATCTAACACATTGGGTAGGCAGAATTCATGAAAAATTGATTGATGGCATAACATGTCTGTCTGTGGTCATGCTAGTGCCTAAACCATTCCGATATACAATTTTATGGGTACATATGGGTAGTTTTTGCGTAAATTTTGCCCTAAATATAGACAATTTTTCATTTAATAAAATTTACATTGCAAAAGTACAATATTGATAATAGAGATTTTTTCCCTTAATGAAATATGTTCTTTAAAACCAGATCTTAACATAATGTAAATGAAACCCTGTGAAATTTTGAATATGTTCTACTTTTTTTTAACGTGTAGAGAAGATTGAATTTAGATGAGATGGTGTAGGGGTAATGTGAGTGGTGTGCTAATTGAAAGAGACTGAGTTTTAATCCTAGTACGGAAATACGTTTGCAGGTTTATGTTGTATTATTATGTTGCATACTTAAAAACATAGTTATAGCATTCGCGTACATACAAACATTACTGTCCAGGACTGATGAAAGTCGACAGGATTTTGCAAAAAATGTTTCAAGCCTCTTCTAAGTTTTCTGTTTATTAAATTTCTTTCTCTTTTCTTCTTATTCTTTTTAGATATTTTCTTTCTCTACTTAAGTACTTATTAACCGCGCTGTCTTCAGGTGCATGTAAGCGGTCCATGCCCTATTATTTTGTTTCTGGCACACTGTAATTGCGCGAAATGTCACAGCAGCCCATAATCGGTCGCTTGGCATCTCTGAGACCTCCTTACTCCAGATAGTATACTCCTTACTCCATCAACACTTTCCGGTTGCGTCAACCACCCTCCAATACGTGGAAGTCACCGTTGCACCGCTTGTCAAGCCTACGGTCAAGCAGAGTAAGAAAGAGATATGAGCTTCCACATGCCTCTGAACAGACGAATGCATTTTCATACGCCTCACTCGGCTAAAATACAGCGAGAATCAGGATTACTATTCGTAACTAAAAGGCTAAGGAGAGAACGCGCGGTTAATTTTTCTCGTCTTGTCATTTTAAATTTCCTGCACTTTTACTATTTTAATTTTTTTCTCTAGGCCTTTGAGGAACATGCCCCCTTGATCCATCCGCCATTTTAAGAGTGTTTTATTGATCATTTTTGGCGATGTTTTAGGTCTTTAAAATCTGCCCCTTCGTTTTTATATTTCCATATTCCAGGAATATTACATAGGACCTAAATGCAGGACTGAGTCGAGCGTGATCGTTTCAATGGCCAAGTTTCAACCGAGAAAGTCTTATTACAGGGCCCTGTAAACGAAAGAGTGGATAAATGCAATTGCAAAATTTCAAAGAAAAAAACTATAACACATGGTGTAGTCAGAATCCACGTTGTGTAGGTCCTTGACACCGAAAAATCGAATGACGGCAAAACGTCTGTCTGGCCGCCTGTGAACAACGCTAGTGGCTAAACCGTTCTGTCGATTTTCGCCAAAATTGATATTCTCCAACCTATCTGGCTGATGTCGTGGCCCCTTGAATTTGAAATCTATATTTTAATTTTGGGGGTACTTTACAAGAAGCACGTGGGACAGTTTTCTTAAATTTTCAAAAAAATGGCTCCATCATTTTTGATTATTTTTTGGGAGTTAGATTCCGTAAAGGACGTTTAAGAGAATGGTGCCGGTCTCATATTCGTTTAAAAAAACCCTAGTTAAAACCCTAGTTTTTGGAAAATTGCAAAAGCTCACAATTTTTTTGGAGTCTTCCTAGCGCTAAAATAATAAAGATTGAGATGTTTCCACTTAATGGAATCTGTTCCTTAAAAATTGCTTTTGAAATAAGATCATTTACAATTTTTCGAAAAATTGTGTATTTTCGGCGTTATTTTGCGTGAAATATGGGCAATATTTAATTTTGTTCAGCAAACAATTTTTACTTGCTCGCACTTACTAACGTGAGAAGAGAAAGTATTGTAATCGTGCGCCGGAAAACGATGAATTTTCGACACAAAATCTCTTATTGCCGAGCCCTGGTACGGAAAAAGTGGATAAATCCAGTTGTTAATTATTGAAGAAAAATTCCTCTAACACGTGGTGTAGGCAGAATCCATGTTTTGTGGGTCCTTGATACCTAAAAATCGATTGATGACAAAACGTCTTGTCTATGCACAACGCTAGCGCATAAACCGTTCAGCCGATTTTCTCCAAAACTGATATTCCCCAATCGTTCTAGCTTATTTCGCGGCCCCAAGAATTTGAACCCGATATTTTAATTGTGGGGGTGTAGGGCTTAAGCGGCCGGAGTCAATACATTCTTGGCTATTCGGGATGAGCCGCGTCTCGGTCAATTGTGCTGACGTTTCGGTCATCTTGCAGTGGCCTTCTTCAAAGCTATACTGCAATATAGCTATACTAGAATGTAATTTAATCGGAAGCCCCTGGGTGATTAATATGAAGCCCCTGGGATCTTTTCAAAATTTCCAAAAAATGGCTCCAATTTTTTTTATTAAGATTTCTTCTTGAATACGGCAAAAGATGTTGCAGATATCATTTTCGTTGACATACCCGATTTTTCGAAATTTGAAAGAAAAAAAAACCTTCACAATTGGTGATATAGATTTTTGTTTCAGATTTTTGTGTTGTACAAAATTATCTCTTCAAAAAAGGTCAAGTACAATTTTCTGAAAAAAAAAGAAAAGTATTTTGTGCATATTTTGCGATTGAAATTTACAACAACAAAAAACCCTCATAAACTGCTCAAAATTTTTTCTTTAAATTTTCTAATAAGAGATGATAAAAATATGGTGATCTTTTTCGGGTATTGGTCATTTTTTGAAAATTAAAAAGAAAGAACATTTTAAAATTACAAAATTGAAGTTAGAGATTTTTGCCTCTGACAAAGTTTGTTGTACAAAATTAGCTCTTCAAAAAAAAGTCATGTACAAGTTTTTGAAAAAACGAACAGTTTTTGCGTATTTTGCGATTGAAATTTACATAAACAAATTCTCAAAAACCGCTCCAAATTTTTTCTTTAAATTTTCTCCACATATGTAATAACAAACGGTAAGAAATAAGGCGCTAGTCTCATTTTTGGGTATTGCTCGTTTTTTCGAAAATTGCTAAAAGGAATTGCGGGAGAATACGAGGGTGATAGCGCAATAGTGGCCTAACCCACATTTTTAGGAAATTGGGTTCTCAGTGTTAATCACATCTTAATCTCCCTAACTTCAATGTGTAACAGTTTCAGCATGTTCACATCAATATTTTTTAAGTTATAATTACAAAGAGAACTATTGCACTCAGCTTACGATTACATTTCTTTGTGCAATAGTGGCCTAAGCATAGACGATGCTGTTTTCCACAAGATGTAATCCACCAAAACTGTTTAGTCAGTGGTCATTCTTACATGACCTGTGACCAAGACTTTGGTCTAATTAAAAAAATAAAAATTCTAGCCCAATATTTTCTCACCCGCTGATTGGGTAATTGTCATTATTACTACAAGAAAAACATTTAATGTTGTGTTAACGGAAAAAATGATTTTGTATCTACAAAATCCTTGGAAAATAATACAACAAATAGAAAGATATACCTGAGAAAAACAAAACTGGAAACTGAAAATGCAGTGGGCAAAATTGGAAAAATCATTCCCTTATTCATTTTTTGTTAAATATTTGAACATTGAGGATGCTGCTTTCTGGAAAGTTGATATTGCAAAACGTGGCTCCAATGAAACTACTTTTCGTGATTTACTGTATCCCAACAGACATGCAGTTAGTGAAGAAAAGAATGACTTTCATGGATTTTGCACCATCTATATACCATCCATTTTATATAAATTTAAAAATTTCTGTAACATAAAGTTCAGAAAGACTGTGTGTTAATGAATTTTTTAAATAAAATAAAAACTTGCAATATACTTCTCTTTTTATTTTTTGTGTCAATAATGCCCTCACTTTCCTTTATTCCAGTTGTCTGTGCAATTGGCAAGTGCATTAGAGGTTTAACCCACAAAAAAAATTGTATTTTTACTTTTTCAATATTGGCTCTCTTATGAATATTAAGGTACAACACCAAAGTAATTATTTATTAAAATTCTATCACTTACAGCACAAGAAAACACTTACAAATGAGTGTTTAATTTTGCCAATAACTTCATCAGCCATTTTCTCCAAACACAGGACCTGGGGATAGGCCACTATTGAGCAGATCCCCTCATATTACATAAGTTACTAAGGGGCGAGAAAGTATGTGCTATTGTTGCACCGCTGGTTTTCTCAAAAGCGGCTCCATAGTTTTCTGATGAAATGTTGGTGGATAGTCTGAGGGATGTTTAAGATAATGGTGTTGGTGTAATGTAGGTTAAATACTCTGAATTTTTAAAAATTGAAAAAATTCAAAATCTTTTCAGCGTCTTTAATTTAAAATTTACAAGTGTTCTGAGAGGAAGGTGAAATCAATGTGAAATTAAATTGAAGGAAAATACCAAAGTTATCTTTCACAATAAAACTATTTTATTTTCGTTTCAATATTTTACATGCCTGGGTTGGTGTTCTAAGACACTACAACAATTTTCGTAAATCCGGGTCCAAACTGTTCCCCTTCATTTTCCCACATGACACCCATTCATCCTTCGCCTGTGATTGAATTATTTTCTCATGAACTGCCAAAAACTATCTACTTTCCATAACATATGAAATACTTACACAAAGAATTAGAATGATTTAAAAACATGATAATTTGTAACTACATTCCAAAATCAAAATATTACTGGGAGCTACAGCAATGTATACAAATGTATAATAAACACTATAATAAATGCGTATAACTGTTGCAGTCAATTTCAATGTATATTAAAGTCAAGGTGATTAAAAGGCTGGAAAATGGTTTTAATTTTTTTCTGCAGCCCAGCAATCCAAAAAATCTGAAAAAAATTCACTACAATTTATGTTTTGAGAGAAACTTTTGAGATTTTTTTCAAGCCTGTTCCAGAATTCTAAATCAAATCTTTTTTTTTTTCAATAATATGTTTTTGCATTTAAATTTAGCACTGAGGAAATAAATTTTTATTTTTCATATTTTCTTTAATCATATAAAATAGCGTTAAGTTGATGAAAAAATTTAAAAAATCAACATGTTTTTGGCTGTAGGTCAGTGCGGGTGGTGGAATGGGGACTAAAACACCTTTAAAAATATTATTTTTGTTTTAAAGTTATAGTGTAACTCATATGCCATTTCGTTTAAGGGAACTTTTAACTATGTTTTCCAGGGGTACCCTTTGATAATGAAAGAGAGAAGTTCATCAGCAGTTACATATTATACTTTCCACAACAGACTACTAAATGTAATGCACATATACCAACAGATGCGTAATAAGAATGATGAATAATTAAGAAAATGTCAATAATGAGATAATAGATTTTCAGAAACACCTATTGCTGCAAAGATAAACAAACATTTTATGTGTTATACTTCACATTAAATGTGCTCAAGTATAAAATAATCTTTTGTTATATGTTATCCAAACGGTATGGTCGCAGAAAACTGTTGACGCAAATTTTATGTCAAATAATTATTATATTAGTATGAATGAATATTATTTCCTTGCATTTTTATACAATAATTAATTGTTGATTTTAATTTATAGCCTATATTGACCGAGATAAAAATGAATTTTACATACAACGGCGGAAAAAAATGTTTGTGAAAGCAAAATTCTTGCATCCTGTACTGCTATAAGTGAATTTCAAATATTCATATGATTACGACACACATGATGAATCGTGCGTCATGTCCTTCATTTTGAACTCCCGCCAAATTGTAAATGTTTGCGTTTGAATCTCGTTTCGCAGTAAGCCATATTAATTGAACTGTCAAAATTGCGGAACGCTTTTCCCTGTTCGTTAATATATGATTCGTGATTTTTTAACAAATGAAGTAATCACTTGGCAACATGTAGTTTATTGCTCTTTCAGTTGTTACCGGCAAAGTAAGAAAAGTATATCACAATGTCACTGTGGCTGGTGTAACATGTAAAGATTTAAGAAGTAGTTCCTGAATTTGGAGGTTAGAAATTGAGCGGTAATTATTCACTTTATCGTTTCGTTCATAGTATAATAATAATAATAATAATATACGTATTTACTTCTTCTCGTATTTGCTAATGATAACTGTTATGTACGTTAGCACTCATTGCAAAAATTATGTTTTGCGCACCAAGTTATGATATTATAGGTACCATGGAAAATTATAACGTGCAATTTCGTTTTGGAAAGTAGATTTTTAGTTTTTGCTTGTCACAAGTTTGTGCGATTTATTGTAGTTGCGTCGTTCAGTTGTTAATTTGATTACTAATTTCATTATTTTGTCAGTATATCCTGTTGTAGCAGTAGCCTTCACAAAGTTATTGTACACATCACACTTACTGTGCACATATGATGATACAGCATGCTATTGAATTATAACCCCTGTCTTAACATCGCACTGTACCCTTGGTTCTATCTGATTTGGGGTCAATAAGCATTTATCATATATTTTCAGGAATTCTTGTACAAGTAGTAATGTCATAATACATTTTGCAGATTAAGTGTATGATGGTAATGTTGTTACTTGTAAAAGAAACTCTGTCAATATTGAAGTATTAGCATATTTAATAAATAAAAAAATATATTGTGGACCTTAACATCTTCAAGATTTTTAGCCTTCTATGGTGCAGCATAAATTTGAAAGCATCTTACTTAATTTTATATATCATTAATTTTGAAGCATCTTGTAACAAGATTTCAATTGTTTCAAATTTAGCGAATCAATGTAATTGGATTGAAACATTATACTGGAAAAAAGTTTTATTTTACTAGGAATATGAATATTTAATTTTTGAATCCATTTACCTATTGAATTGCTAAACAAACTAGTTGTGAATTTTTATAGTGCCCATAGATTTTTAAATTCATTAACTCATTAGGAAGTATGAATGAATGTCTATTACATACAGTCTGCTTTTGAAAAAAACTCTTAACAAGCTCTCTTCAGTGTAGTTTTTTTCATTATCTGTTTATATTTGTTTCTTGCAATTCATACAATTCACGATCTTTATGTCCTAGCAAATGCAACAATGTTGACGTTTGAACCAGACCCTTCTCACTATCAGTCCTGTGGTGCGTTAGCAACATGTTGTGAAGGTGCAGGATCTGTGCATCTTGCACGTCATCTTCCATCAGGAAACCTTGTGGCCCTTAAGAAGTTCAACATGGAAAGAGCAGGAGATGATGCAGCTCTTGTGCAAGTAAGAATTAATTTCAGTATTTTTAATGTCAAGAAAGTAACTTGAAAAATAGTCCTCATGTGAACAATATGTATTGTAACAGTGTGATAAATGAAATGAGGGGGAAAATTGAAATTACATTATTCTGTTACTAGGTGACCTGCATGGCTGAGGTAGATTAAAATGACTAATCACCTTTGTCTTGAGAGCTATGCATTTAAATTCCACTATGGGAATAAACTGTGTGTCATGCACATAATGTTACTGCAAACTTTTGTATTGTTTCAATTTCTCAGAGAGTCTGTCCAGTTAAAAGTGTTGCCATTGAATATTTGAGTTAATCCCTTTAGAGAAGATCAGGAAGAAAAACAAATGATGTAATAATAATAATAATAATAATAATAATAATAATAATAATAATAATAATAATAATAATAAAATCATTATTATTATCATTATCGTTATTATGAAAATGATAATGACTAATGTTTTTTAGAGAGAGAGATATACAAAATCGAAAGGATGAGAGTCAATTACAGTATTATATTTAATTTATATAATAAAGCTCTAGTAAATTTGTGAGCATTTGAGTAATATAGTAGAAAAAAATAATTATTTAAGAGTAATTTATTATTTTATAACCCGTAATATTTTTAAACAAAATAATTGAAATAAAGTAATTCAAAAATTTTGTGTATGTATATATGTATGTATATGTGATTTTACTTGAGGAACATGCTTAATTTCAGCATGAAGTTCGACTAACTCGGCAACTCCGGCACCCTCATGTGCTTGGCCTGCATGCAGCATTTGTTGCGGGGCCTCATGTTGTAGCTGTTCTGCCCCTCATGGCCTTTGGGTCTTGTCGGGACCTTCTTAATGCTCATTTTGCAAATGGATTGCCTGAGGCAGCAGTGGCCTGTGTTTTGAGTGATGCCCTTTTAGGACTGGAATACATACATCGCAGAGGTATAGTGCATAGGTAAGTGTTAGAGAAAGAAAGCTTAGTAATTTGTGTCAATTAGCATGTTTTTAATCGTAGTGAAGACTGCCTATTCGAATAAATGGTGATTGATTTATTAAACCTGGAAAAGGGAACGTTTATGAAATTTATCTGTTAATTAAAGGTTTAAATGTCAGATACCATATTTACTCTATTATAAGCTATCACTGATAGTAAGAAATATTGAGCAAAATAACAGAAAAAAAAAGGAAATTTATTTATTAAAACCTAAGAAATACATTTGATGCTTATCACACACACACCATTGATTTCTACAAATTTTAGAGATCATTGACTAAGATGCTGTCATCAGACGACTCAGATTCCTCACATGACTCTTTGTCACTTTTGTCCATGAAAAGGAAGTCATCTTCACTGCCACAAGGGCATTTGAGATTGAACACTTTATAAAGGTCTTTGCGACAACGTCTCTAGGAATACACTTCTAGGCGTCGTCTATCGAAGCGCACATTTGCAATAGACTAGCCTGAGATTACAGAAAAAGAATGAATGCTGGGGTTGCTCCCGGGCTTGCAGGCTGGACCCACATGCATGTCACAAGGCATTACTCCAACTGTCACTCACAATTCCAATCAGACGATTATATATTTCAAAATAATATATGTTGTGGCTTCATGCAGGTATTATCCGTATATTCTACTGTGTCGGCTGCGTCCCCGACAAAAAATAGATATATTTATGGATGTCTGGTGTCAGCTACGTTATAGCAAGCCAATGATACCGATTCTAAGCCAAGGGTTAATTTTTAAACTAGAAAAAAGGGGATAAAAGATTGGCTTACAATTGGGTAAATACATTATATGCAAGTGAATATTTTATAGAATTATTATTTTGATTAATGAAAGAAGAAAAAAAAAGATTATTAATGTTGAAGAGATAATTACCTATTTTTGAAAAAGAAAAAGAAAAAGTTTTTGTTAAAGAAATAAAACAAACAAAAAGTAACCTAAATATGAAATACTACATTCCACAACATTTCAACTGCAGCAGTTTTGGTGTCTTCATCAGGTGTGGCATCTTTACAGAAGTGGTTGAAACATGATGGATGAAGTACATTAGATTCATGTTATGTAATGTTTTGATTGGTTTTGTTCTTTAATAAATATTCTCAAGGCTCGTGTTTATGTACTTTTCTGCTGAGAACATTCTATACATAACTGTTTTCAGAACATCCTTATACATAGAAGCACTAAAATTTTCTGTTTTCATTTTACTTCATTATTTGTTCCCAAAACTAAACATCGTAAACAATTTTGTCATTCATTTCCATTGAGTACTGGAGCAATCTATGAAATTTTGCTTTGTAATAAATTCTAAAATTTAGGGATTAAGCTGAATTCTGATTATGCTGGTAAGTGTAAAGGAGTTTTAAGGTTAAGGAACAATAAAAGTATATTATTGTAATCAAAAATTTTTCTTATCTATGTTCCCATTTCAATGCCTTTTTAATCTGTGTTCAACAATTTCATTTTCATAATCGTTAAGAAGCAACATTTATTAAGAAATAATTCTATACATTTGATTGGTGTTTCAGTGATCGTACACTACACATTCATAAAGGTTTTCCAAATTTTTTGTACAAATATTGATTACAGACCATACTAACTCTTGTGAGGAAAACATACAATAATGCCAGATATTGTGAATGGGTTCAGCTTTATTTAATTACTGAATTTATGTATTGTACAATAGATTTTTATTCTATGTGTTTATTTTCAGAGCTGTAAGAGCCAGCCACATTTTGGTGTCCGGTAGTGGTAGAGCTTGTCTTAGTGGACTACGCTACTCTTGCCCTCTGGTGGAAAACGGAAGGTGGCAGAAAGCATTGCATTCCTTCCCACAGTCTACTGCTCGCAATCTTAATTGGCTCAGTCCTGAGGTGTTAGAACAGGTTAGAAAACTTGGACATTAAGTATAAAGTACTTTTTCTTTCTTGTGGACTTTTATGTAATGCTGCAGGAAAAAGTGCTGAATTTATGGCAAAAATGTTCTGTGGGTTACTGATACTGAAAAAGTGGATTTTGCTTGATCTCAAATGTAGTAAATTACTATCTCAAATGAAGCAATACATGCTTATAAAATTCACACAGATCTGCTATTCATTAGTGCTTCTGTATTTTCAAAAATTGTGAAGTTCAAACATTTTTCTACTCCTTCCGTCTACCATTTTATTGTACATGGGTATTTTTTCGTAATGAAATCTGTTTTTCAAAATTGTATCGTTAAATAATGTCATGTTCATTTAGTTTTCATATATTGTTTAGTAAAATAGTGTCAATTTTTAATAAATACATCGACCATTTTCTCAAATAGCTCCAAGTCTCTCTTTAATTTTTTAAGTGGAGTAAAGTTTGTCATAATATAAAATAAGTCCTATATTTGCATTAAAATTTCAAGAATTTTGAAAGTTGTAAAAGTTTAAATTATTATTTTTATTTATTTATTTTCAAAATTTTTACTCCTTTAATAATGAAGCTAGAGAATTTTCTTAATATAATAAATTTCTCAGTATTAGATCTTCAAATCATTGCATGTACACTTTTCCAAAATATTAATAGTTTTTATGTAATATCAAGTGGATATATGGCTAACGTGCAATGTACCTGTAAGGTCCCTCCACAGTGGCACAGTTAAAGTCCACAGGTTAAGTCCCTCCACAGTGGCAGTGACTGGTGTAAATTATGATGGTAGCACAAACTGCAGCTTGTAACAAATAACAACATAAATTGCACACTCACCACCATAATAACAGATGCTGGAAGTTTGCATACACAAGCCATCAATTGTTTCCCAGTGATCTTGTTGTTATGAATATAAATCCAATTTTTAACAGGAGCTGCTGATTTGGCACTGTGTGGAGAGACTTTTCTGGGGCACTGTATTGGTGGGTTAGAAGTTTATTGATGAGTTAGATTAGTTCAGAATGCACAAAATGAACTATTTATAATATAAATATGAGCAAAAGTTCTGCCTCTTTGGATAACAACAACCTGTGGAACTGAGGGGGTTCAAATTTCAACTTAACTTATAAAATCATGCTTTTGAGAATTTTGAGTGCAAGATAATTATGTTTCAATATTTTGTCATGTGTATCCTACAGTTTTAGAAGTCACCAAATATGAATTCAGTGTTAAACTCATTATTTTGAATTTTGACAACTGTCATTCTAGCTGTCAAATTTAATGTAAATGAAAACAATTAACTGATCAAGGTTCAACTAATTCATATTTATTACAGACATTGAAAATAATTTTGTTATTCATATGTAATTAATCTGTTAATTTTATTAATATGGTTCAGAATTTGTTACAATAGAATCGTTTATTTCAGAAACCCGTCAATTGCCAAATTCCTCATCTCGAGAAAACAAGGAAAATATGTCCTAGCTATGTAGGGTTGGTTTTCCTGATTTAAAAATATTTTTTAGTATTAAAGCAGTTGATAAGTGAAAAGTTTTCATGTAAATATTTTTGTTTACTAATCTCATTGAATTTTCAAAAAAAGTTTTAGTCCGTGCTCTTGATGGGTTTCTGCAAGAAATGCCAGAAAGAACTTGTTTTGATTTGTATCATCACTTTTTACGAGTGTTAATCACTTGTAATGAAGTTGTGAGTGTCTATTTATTACATTAGAAGAAATAATTTTATAAAATAAGAATTTTTTTTACACAAAAATCTTGAAAAATCGGTCTTATTTCATTTTGAAGCACAACATCAGCATCACCATCTCTTGTTGACCAATACAAAATTTTATCATAAAATTGTTCATTAGATCTCAGTGTCACTATCTTCTTTGTGTTGATTGATACTTACAAGAAGAACTGTAAAATGTAGAACAAACATGTTTAATGAAATATTTGAATATAATCAAAATACTATGGAAGTGCTTTCTTACACTGAGTAAAATAAATTCATGTTTTATTAGTATGTACTATTGTAGTTACAAGCAATGCCTTCCGGTTTTTGTTTTTTATAACTACTTTCGTTCTGGTGTACGAAACATATGCCTTGCCTTTCTCCCTGGAATTGAGTATGATATTCTGCTGAAAATCTTCAGGGCTAGACATGTTCTCACAAAAAAAATTACTTCTTCTTAGTTATCACAACAAAATCAAATCATTTCAAAAGAAATTTCAAAACATCATTCTGAACAGATGCTACTCTTAAGAACTTACAAGAGAAAAACAGTCTCTGTACTTTTAGAAGAGCAGATAGAGATCACAGCCAGACTTTCTGTAACTGTCTTAGAAAATCTCCTCTCTCGAATGTGTAACCTAACTGACCCCTGAGGTGGTGCTGGTAACTGTCCAAAGTACTAGCTTGGATTGCACGTGACATCCTTACTTTTGTGGTTGTCCGCATGTGACCACTGCAGGGTTAGAAGGAAATTTCCTTTTGGTTTAGAGCAGAAACCCATCAAACAACATTGCTTGACCGGTTTCTGTTCTAAACACTTATTTTTTAGGGTCTTTCGGACCACATTGCAGGAGCTGAAAACAGCTGATTTTTGCACTAATCAATATGTTTATCCTCATAAAACAATATTCTTTTGCTAACACATTTTTTTAAATTTTTGTTGTTTGACAGGTTTCTGAAATAAAAGATTCAATTGTCATGATACACATGCGTATGAATAATGTGTACTGATTTGGTTCTAATTCTTTCGATACAATTTTGGCTTAATATTTTTTTTCTTCCCCTCTCTCTTTTTTCTCTCATTAAAATTGGAATTTGGGTATCTACATAATCAACTAACATGGAGAGCTGATCAAGAATCAAAAATAAAGTGTGCGACCTGCAGTAATCCTAGTCATAATGAAGTAACATTTACTAACAATTCAAATTCTATTATTCATTTATATCTGTATCTATATATCTATTTTGAAAAGTGAGTGAAATGTCTTTTGAAATTCTGTCCTTGCTACATATTCTGCATGTGTATTATAGATTTTGAATAGGCAGGCTTTTCATTTAAAAAATTAATTTGTTATACATGATATTCAATTCTTTGAAGGTTTTTTCTTTAAACTTTTTATGGGCCTTCAGTATTGAGGCAAATATTTTATTTAAAATATTTTTAATTGCATTATTTGCAGGTTACAAATTACCTTTTTGAGTAAGAAAAAATGTGCTTGGAAACAGTACTTAGCCCATGGCATCTTCTTACAATACTGTAGTAAAGGGCAATATTTGAGATTCCCTATTTTATTCTCTCATTTCCTTTTTTATTGATATTCTCAAAGCATTTTTCACCTGATGTCAATGTGATATTGTGTCTCCATGGAGAGGTTATTCATGTCTTTCTTTTGGGACGTAGAGGATTATTCACAGCCTTATAATATTGCTGTTGTTCAAGTTTATGGAAAAGCTGCAGAAATATTTTTGATATATGTACACACACACAGCAAAACCCATTTATAAGACACATCGATGAGAATGGAATTTTGTCTCTTATAAGTGTGTATATTTATATATCTATATATACACATACATGTGTCCGGAGAGGAAATGTCGAAACTTCGAAAATAACTTCTTAAGACAATTTTAAACATATTTTGTCTAATAAACTACTTGGATATTTCGAATGGCTATGCCGCTATAAGCAGTCAAAATTTAGTTTGAAAAATGCCTTTTAGGCAAAAATTTGTATTGCAAAAGCATAGAAATCCAGAAATAAAAAAGCAGTCAAATTGTTTAAATAGGATGCTTTTTAATTTTTCTTTCTGAACAAATGTATTCATTTCTTTTGTAAATAATAAACATTTTAAATGTTTCTGGAGTGTTTCTATGCTTCTGAAATGCAAATTTTTTCCTAGAAAGCATTTTTTAAAACCAACATTTGAGCCCTTATTGCAGGTGAACCATTCAGAATATCCAAGTAGTTTATTAGACAAATCATGCTTAAAATTGCCTTACGAGCTTATTCCTCCCTGGACACTCTGTATTTGTAAGGTTGCTTTTTAGTTGCATTATTTTTTTTAAATATTACTGATGTAAAGTGTTGGTGACTGAAGAATTATGAAATAGAAATCTTTACTAACGCATGTAGTGTGGATCAAATGTATAAAAGATTCTCTTTTCTTTTTTCTCACCCTCCCCACTCACTTGAACATTTTTTTTACTATTCCACCCTTTCAATACAGAATATCATTCTTAGAAAAAATTAGTTGCATTACTGCTTTTGAATTAGTTTGTAAATTATTTGTTGGAATTTTTCTGATAATTGCATACAGAAACAGAGAAAGGTGTACATAGAAGGAATGGTCTCTAGCTGGGGATTTTGTTTAGTCCAGCTTTGCCATCCTTGCTTTATTGCTTTGAGAGTGCAAATTTAACATTCATTGTGATATTTTGTTGATACTGTTTAAATATGGTATGTTGGTTACAGTGCAATAAGTTTCTATCCTTTCAAAAAGTGTACTAGACAATAGGAAAAGTTTAGAATGGTTTTCCAAATCAAAATTAATTGAAAGTTGTTCTTTACGTTTGTAGTATGTGTGAAATGTGAATCTAAACTTGTATTATATTCTTGCAGGTTTTATAAATTTAATGAAGATATTTTTCATTTCAAAGGACCTGTTATCATAAAGCTTATGTCTCTTTCTTTCTTTTATGCAAATATTTATGTGCTGTTATTTTCAGGTTTGAGGAGAATTGCTAAATGATCATTTTCGTTTTAAATTAATAAACATGTAGCATCGAAATAACCTTACTTGTTTCTTTGCTCTATTAATAATGATATATGTTTTCAAACTTGCAGTTTTAATTGTTTTGCTAATGTTGCATGCCTTTATTAAAAAGAGAAAATGAGTATATTATTTTTCATAAAATACCCTTGTTGCAGAACTTACAAGGATACAATGAAAAGTCTGATGTATACAGTTTGGGAGTAACAGCATGTGAGCTTGCCAATGGTGCTATACCTTTTGCAGATATGCCCACAACATTAATGTTAACTGAAAAAGTAAGTGCGCTGTTGTTGATATGAACTTCAGTCTATGCTTTCGCATGTTGGCCATTGCCATACTGCCGGTTTTTACTTTCATGTATACTACAACCAGAAGCAAATCCAGAGATGAATTTTGGTGGGGGGAATTCAAAATGTTTTGGTTGAATGTGTCATATTTCAGATTATGTAGAATGATGCAGGCTAAACTCAGCTCATGCTGCGATAGATTTTATTCGTTTTAATGACTATCCGAAAATATTTTTGCCTGAAAGTTTTGCGACAAGTTACAATTAACACTTTCAATCCTAAGGACATACCTGATATGTTATCTTAATTTTACTGCTGTGACCTATGGACATATGTCATACATCCTTCTACACTTATAGTCTAACAGACTATAAATGTCTCTAAGATATTCGTTACATTCATAGGTACCTATCATATGCTTTTTAGTATCATTAAGATAGTTGCAAGAGAAACGCCAATGTGTGCATGTATTTTTTGCAAGAATTTGCAATTTTTCAAGGAAGCTATTAGATATTTGTAATAGCGGGCATTGTTGATTACGTTCAAAATTTATTTCTATGTACGTAGTGTTCATGCTTTGAGCGACATACAGATGTTTTAAAATGCATGTATGTTGAATTTACAGCAACTCTGAACATTAGAAGTTCCAGATTTTTTTTTGAATAATGGATCGGACCTGGATTCTTCTGATGAGAATGCCAATTTTAGTCTTGGACTGTTGTCTAGTTTGAGCAATGGAAGTTATATCGAGGAGAGTAATAATGATATAAATGACTGAGGAGTCATCTCAAATTCAAGAGTTTTCATTTGCTTAAGAATACTGTGAAACTGATGAGCAATCTAAATTACCAGCATTTGAGAAAACCAGTGAAATAAAATTTCCTGTAAATAAACACTCAACTAACCTAGATCATTTTTCATTTTTTACCACTGTATATTTCCAAAAATAAAGACAGAAATAAATAGATATGCAAATGAAACTATATCTAAACTTCAACAAAATATAATTATAGTTCACCAGTGTTGATCTATGAAGTTCATTGTGTTTCCCTGCATATTTTGTAACATTGTTACTTTCCGGAAATATATAAAATTGACAATCTCTTTTTCTCTGAATTCCAATCTCACTACCATCTTACAATCAAATGATCATAAATACATAGAGTAATGTGTATGATAGTTTTTGTTTTACAATGTTCTGAATAATATTAATTAGATCGCTGGTGAGGTAGATACCTTTTTATTATGATAAATAAATAAAGATGTTGTCTGGTATCAATACTTTTTATTCAGCTTATGATGGTTTCGATCGCATAGCGATCATCCTCAGAGCTTGCAGCTTCCGGGCCGAAAACAAAGTTCTGAATAATAGCTATATATGGTGTATTCCTCAGAATTGAATGTGTTCGTACTTACTGACAAATTGGGTGGGGAGGAATATACCTCATCTCTCCCCTCCACCCCATTCCTGCTATAACTAGTGTAGAGGAAGTTATGTAATGCCGGAGGAAAGGTTTCAGATTATCAATGAAAAAAATAACATTTTGTGGGTCCCAGGATTGGAGGAAAAAGTGGATTTTTCTCATTCCTATGTTGAATAGTAAATGTATATGTAATAATGTATAGTAGTTGTTGTATTTCTCTTGTGGAGAGCGCAGATTTGACTATAATTAACAACATATAATGTTTGTGAAAATGGAATATAATAACCTCCTGAAACTTGGATCTCAGGAAATAAAATAGTTATGAATAGAGCCCAGAAATGTAGCAAAATGTTTTTTTTACCATTGTTACAATTTTGTGACTTTTGACAATAGTAATTACTTAATTGTACTTCTGGAGTTGTTTTAATAGATTTTCATTTTGCCTATTTTAGCTACAGATGCCTGTTTGTGGCATTTTGCCTTATTTGTGCTTTTTCTGCCTTTCTCATCTTATTTTTCCCCTTGTGTCTTCCTCCTGGCATGAATCTCCATCCAGCTGAAATAATACCTGCAAGCCTGGACAACGCACGGTTGTGTATTGTCTTTCTGTGGACACCAGTGTCAGGTTGTGTTAAAAATCTAAAAGGGAAAGGAAGATGATACCAGAGAAGATTTTTGATATATTTCATTGATGTTAACAGATTTGTTCCCTCATGAGGAACTCATCCTATGTTCGAGGATGGCTTCAAATCACTTTTGAGAACAGCTCAGAGATACTTAGGAGTCCAGATTGACGCGAGACTGCACTTCGACGAGCACTTGCGTGTAGTCTGCGAGAAAGCGTCTCGCATGGCCTCCGCTTTGGCACGAACCATGCCTGACGTTGGGGTTCCTGGGCAAAGTAACCAGAGGCTACTATTTAGCGCTATTAACTCTATGCTGCTCGACGCAGTCCCCATTTGCGCTGATGCCTTTGGGATCCAGTCGTACGCCCGCTGTGTGCAGTCAGGTCCGTTTTAAGTGTGGCCCGGGCGTTTCACACGGTTTCGTATGGCGCTGTGTGTGTGATAGCCGACACCCTCCTATAGACCTTATGGCATAAAAAAGGCCCAGGCTTTATAGACGTAAGCGAGGAGTTACAAATAGAAGCGTTATCATGAAGGAAGAGAGGGAGGTGACAATGGCCAAGTGGCAACGGCGATGGGTTCTATCATCCACTGGTAGATGGACATTTCGTCTTAATCCTGACGTCAAAAAGTGGACCCAAAGGAAATAGGAAAATGTGGATCAGTATTTGAACCAGTTGTTGACGTGGCATGGGCGCTACCGTGCATACTAACACAGTTTCTGGTTGGACGACGACTCCTCATGCCCAACTTGTGACGATGGTTGAAGATGTGGAGGAGCACGTGTTCTTTCATTGTCCACGCTTCGTTGAGGAGAGGGAAGAACTCCTCTGACTACTCCTGCAAGAAGTGACTTCTGTCACCATCGTCACTAGGATGCTGGTGTCCAAAGAGAATTGGGGAGTGCGGTAGCCACCTATGCCGCAAAAGTTTTGAAGAAGCTTCGGTTAGAGGAGCGACTAGGATAGAGTACCCCGTGATTCAGTTGGCATAGAACGATAAGATGATCTGCCCTTCCCGTGATATAATGCCTAATGACGATTCCGCGGGAAGGGAATCGGAGGAATGGGAGAGGTTTTTAGTGGATAGGCACAGGCTAGCTGTGAATGTCTGCAAAGTGGCGGACCCGTTGTGACTTATAAAGAATTCCCCTGCCCTCGTAAAAAAAGATACACAATCCCACTCGCAGACATACACTCCCATGCACAGACGCACACGCACACATGCACGCACGCACGCACGCACGCACGCGCGCGCGCGCGCGCGCGCTCGCTCGCTCGCTCGCTCGCTCGCTCGCTCGCTTACACACACACACACACACACACACATATGTATTGATACATGGAGTCATGACATTGATTTTATGGATCTGAATTCTCATATTCCTTGGACATCTAAGTGTAAAATACAATTTACTGATGATATTTTGTTTAACATTCTATTTGCACAAACGTTGTTGTTATAAGAAACCATTGTGGAAGATGTGTAGAATGGCAAATTCTGAGAAATAAAATTTTATCGTACAACTTATCAATTTCTAAAAGTATGTAAAACCCTTGATACTAAACGATTTTTGTTAATGTTCTTATATATGAGTCAAATTAATGATTGTAATTGGGTGATTGCCTCTAAAATAGGTATAATAAAAATAAAAAAATTCAAGGAAATTTCAACCCAAACTCACTTCAAAAAAATATAAACAATCTGTGAGCAGCTCAGTTTCACTAATTTGGAGGGGAAGCTGCCGTATTTGATAACCAAATTAAAAATCATCACCTATCACTACTATCAATCAGTAGGCATTAAACATATCGGACACTTATTGATCTACAACTTTCTAATCATTTATAAACAAACCAAACCAAAAAATGTATTTAGTTCCCAATTATCATCAAGTAACAACCACAAAATTCAAGAACTACTACGTACTTCACCATATCGAGGCATAGTTTTTTGGCAAGTTAAAGTTTACTGGAAAGAGTGTGATAGGTTTATCCATGCTCCTTTGAACTTTACATCTTCTAGTACACTGTAAATTTATTAAGGCCTTTGAAATATTTGTAAAATTGCAAAAATATAATTTTTTCATTGATGCATTTATTTATATTCAAAATATGTGAACTGGCAGGACAATCTTGACAATGTTCATGTTAAAATGAAAATACACATGAGAAAGAAGTATAAAGTTACAGTATGGTAAATGGTAAAAAATAGAGAAGAAAACAAAAAAAAGAAAAAGAGAGTAGATAATAGTAAAGAAAGAACAGTGTAAAATTAGTCCAAGCGTTATTTTAAATGTGTGAATGCTGGGAACAGTAGCAAGTAGGTGATTCCAGTGCTCTATAGCTCTGTTCAACAGGAGAAACCTGTACAGATTGTGCAAAAAATTGTCGTTCAATTTGTAATTGTGACCATAAAGGTGGGAGTAATATTGCGGACGAAGAAATCTTGAAAACTTGGGCAGTTGTAGTCGCCATTTAGTATTTTGCAAGTTTCAGTGAGATTTTCCCGGAAAATCTGGTTGTCAGCAGTTGACAGGTGTGGTGCTTGAAGTCTCTTAGGGTATGACAGGTGTTGCAGGACAGATATGTTGTATGTGTATGTCTAAACAATTTCGTAAGTACACTGTCTGTGACAGGTCCTGGCTGAAGTACGGTGCCCAGATAAAACGACAAAACTAAATTACTGGCCTAATGTAAGTAGTGTAAATGTTGTGGAAAAGCTGTGTTGTCAAATGCTTGAAGGTTCTGTTGACCAGATAGGAGACTCTTGGCATTTTTCATTGCATATTGTAGTGTGTATTCCTCTTCAGATCAGTATTTCACTTTAGTATCAGTTTTTATGTAATGCCCTTTTCTATACTGCAAATGCAAAAAGCATTAAAGAGCAAGAGAAAGTTGGCATTTTGTGGAAAACTAGTAAAAGAGATGGAGGGTAAAAAATGATCGTTCCTGAACATGCCCGACCAGCCAGATAAGAGAGGATGAAGGTTTTTTTGTGACCTTTGTTCTCTTTTAACTCAGTGTAACAGAAAACGTCTGCTTTTTCTGTGGAGACTGCTGCCTAATACCAATACAGGTACTTTTAAAGCAATTTTTGGTTTCATTTGTACTGTTTTTCTTGACAGGTTCGTGGTTGTTGTCCGCAATTACTTGATTGTTCAACTGTCGCAGAATGTGATGATGATGGCCCAGGAACGAATGAAGGCAATGGTGGTAGTGGCAGTGATGCTGGCCTACTGCATCATGGAGCAGGTAAATATGTTTTTTCAATATTCCATTGTAAATTCTTTTAATTTGGAAAGGTTATGAAGGGAGAAAAAGTATTAAACCTGCTGTCATGAAATAATGATTTCTGATTTGTTTTAAGTACATTTTTTGTGGTTGTATTCAGATATAATTAGGAATAGTGCACTTGGTATTGTGGACACTTCTAAAAATATTGTTCCTTGATGTCGTAAGCTTCCACAGCCAGTGATGACTCTATACTTCGCTCTGCTGGTTAACCGCAACATTCGAGACACCCCATTCATTTCTTCCTTAATTTCAGTTGACAACAATAAGCAAATGGCGAAGCTTGTGATTCACTGTTCCCTAGGTTACGGTACTTGCGTCATCCCGTGACCACGAAATGTCAACTGCATTCTAATTTTATTTGGGCCTTAGCGGTGATGGTCATATAGATCACATAGATCCTCCGACCTTTCTAGCAATGATCTTGATTCCGCTGTGCAGGAGGCTCTTAGCGGTGCCTTTCTCCCCAGCATCAGGGACGAACAGCAAGACAAGCAGCGAAGATACAAAAGATGTAAAATAAACTCTGAAAAAAAGTTCAATAAGATACATAAGCCTTAAAACTCTGGATGGCTCTCCTACTGTGGAACCTAAATCGTTTACGTGCCCAAGCAAAAGACATCCAATTAATTTCATCTCGCCATTCTTCCTGTTTTATTTGCAGAAAACACTTCTACTTGGACACCCTTTACCCCTCAGAGGTTTCCACACTTGTAGATTTGCCATCGATGATGGTTCTCAAACTCGCAACAGCATCAACTTGTTGACCCGTGACCAACTTTTGTTAGGAAATCACAGTCCAGTCCAGTCCCAATATCGTCTGTGTGCAGATTAAATCTGCATTCCTCTTTTTCTCAGTTTGTAATATGTATCACCCACCTGGCAAGCAGCCCTTCCTCTTCTTCCTCCTCTTCTTCCTCCTCTTCCTCCTCCTCCTCTTCTTCCTCCTCCTCCTCTTCTTCCTCCTCCTCCTCTTCTTCTTCCTCCTCCTCTTCTTCCTCCTCTTCTCCCTCCTCCTCCTCTTCTTCTTCCTCCTCCTCTTCTTCTTCCTCCTCCTCCTCCTCTTCTTCTTCGTCTTCTTTTTTGCCTCTTCGTCTTCTTCTTCCTTGTCTTCTTCTTCTAGCATTAGATCTTTCATTCCATTGCATCTCCTTATTGGACCATCTTCTCTTCAGTCTTCCTATGTTCCTTTTTCTTCTTAGCTTATATTTCAAAAGCTGTTCTGGTATTCATGGCTCCTCCATTCTATCAATGTGGTCTCTCCATGCTTTCCTGTATTTGTCGATTTTTCCATTTAGGTTATAAATTCGTAGGTATCGTTAGGTTATAAATTCGTAGCCTACGACATCAAATTCGTAGGTAGTTCTGTATCTCTTCATTACGAATCCTGTCTTTCCAAAACCAAAACATCCCCTTAAAAACTTAATTTTGGCAGTCTGTATCCTATTTCTAATTTTTGTATTCATGGTCCAGATTTCTCATCTATATAGTCTACAAGGAACTTCTGAGGATTTATAAAATTTCATGATTGTTTCTTTCCTAACTTTACTATTTAGTGTCCTAACCTTTTCACATATTCTATCAAATTTTTCAATTTTCTTATCTGCATCAACTTCTCTTTTATAAGATAGATCACAACTCAAGAATTTAAATGAACTTATTTGTTCATTGTTTTGGTTGTTAACCAGTAATTTACATCTAATTGGGTATTTCCCTTGGAATGCCATTGACTTGGTTTTTTGGACAGACATCTGTAAATTATATTATTTTATGATAATCTGCAATTCGTTTTGAGCTCTTTGTAGACACATCATCATCAGATATTAAAACTTGGTTGTCCGCTTACAGAAGTGTCTTTATAAAATGTTTATTATTGAAGTTATCAGTAACATTTAAAAATTTTATCTTCTGCTTCCATATTGTAATAGTATCATAGTAACATAAATGTTAAAAAATGTGGATGACATGCAGCACCCTTGCCCCCACTTCTTTATTTATAAATTCTCTGAAGATTTTACATGATTTTGTTCTTACATTAATTTGGGTATTTTCATACATGTTTCAAATTACTTAGATTAGATGTTTGGGTATGCCTCTTCTGTCCATAATTAACCATAATTTTCCACTCAGAAAGTTATGAAAGCATTTACGTAATCTATGAAGACCATACATGTTCATAAATTGAATAGATTGAATTGTTCATAGATAGAATCTATGAACATGTATGGTCTTCATAGATTGAATTGTTGTGTCTTTTCAATCAACAGTTTTAACATAAACATATTATCAGAACTTGATCTCCCTTTTCTAAATTCTGTTTGTTCTTCGAGAGTTATTGCTTCCATTATTTTCTTCATTCTATTGTTAATGATTTTAGTATATACTTTATGATTTGTATTCAGAAGAGTTATACCTCTATAGTTTTCACTTATAGGGATAACTAGAACAAATCTTTCATTCTGTTGGTATTATGCTGTATGTCCAGGAATAGCTAAATAGAACTAGCAGTATCGGAAGAAAAAATTTAAAATTCTTAGCTTCTCATTGTTGATTAATTCAATGCCCACTATCCTTTACAGTGCTCCTCTGAAACTTTCTCTCTTATCCACTTACTTTTTAGCTTCGTGTATTTGAGCATTCACATCCTGTGAATTTTTGACAAATGAGTAATTTTGTGTAATTAAAATATTATGTTGGGTCTCAACAAGTAGAATTCACTGTCAGCTCAATGTTGATAAAAATTGCACCCACATCCTTTCTCTCCGTCTGCATTTTTCATTATTGTAGAAAGATTCATAATGGGTGTTGTGTGTTTTTTGTCAAATTCAAATATTCAAGCATATAGTACCCAATGAGTATTTATGTATATGATGTGATAATTGATGATAATTGATAGTACATGACTTCATGCTAAAATAAATAGAAAAGTTCCGTCTCTTGGGCTGCTTAATAATAACCAAATGAAACTGTTATAACATTGATTAATTATAATTAATCAACAGTTTTGTGACAGTGTGGTGAATTTGCAAATTAGCATATGTTTTGAATATTGATATGTACTCTGACCTTAAATTTATCAATCGAGAAACTATTCAACTCAATCTATTGTCTGTTGAATGATTTGTCTTAACTTTTTACAGATACTCTCAATATAAGAGAAGGAGCTGGAAGTGGAAGAATTGAATGTGCAGAGGTTGTGACTGAATATGCGCAACGTCGTTTCTCTGATGCTTTTCATCAAATGACAGAACTGTGCCTCCAACGGGATCCTGTTCAACGACCTGCAGCTTCACAACTATTACAACACCCTTTCTTTAAAAATGCTCGACGTACTGGAAGTGGAACGTAAGTTTTTATTTTTGATTATACATACCATTTCAATAATATCACAAACATCTTTTGTAGTATATTATTAGCTATCAAAAAGTGCATGTGCATGCATATGTATTGGGGAAGAAAGGTTTCAAATATATTGTGAAATATAGAATTTCACATCAACAAAACATTTTATTTTGTCTCATTGGTTAAGTCTTGTGCATTAAAATATGTGGGTCTCAACAAGTAAAATGTTCATTATAGGTAGATGTGATAAACTTGGCCCTATGGCCACATGGCCATAAACCATGAAATCAAACAAGTACCAGACACCACTGCCATTTATTTTCTGCCTTTTTCTTTCTTTTTTTTTTTTTTTTTCTTCTTCTTCTTTCTTTCTTTTTTTTCCTTCTCTTTTTTCCAGTAGACACTAATGGCATAACTCCTTCCTACAATGCTCGGGTTCCTTTTTCTAATTTTTACTTTCTGCTTTCCTTATCCCTTCACTTCTCAGGAATCATGTTCTCTCTTTGTTTTATTTCTTTTAGATAAGCTATTTGACATCTGGTCTCTACAAAAATTGAAAAATACTTATCCCTTGTTGGCTGTGTTGAGCGGATCTCAACATTACCAAATTGGTCTTTCTGTCCTTTGTCAAGTCCCACTCAAAATGCAGTTTTCTTTCTTTTCTGAGCTCTGAATTGACATGTTACGACAGAACTGTGAAGTAAACAATTGGTAGGTAGCTATCGTGCTCATTTTTGTATAATTTCAAATTGTTAGGCAGTTTATTTGGCTTTTATTTGTTTAAACTTATTTTTATATAAACTAAACAGTCATCTTACATAACGCAAACTGGGAAACATGAGTTTGATTTCTGGCTTGTTTCCCGGAATTAGATCAAAAGGTGACAATAAACAGACATGAGTGTGGAAAATACAAAGGTAAATCATGTTTATTGTTACGTCATTTACATTTGTAAAACAATTTATTAGCCTCTTCACTGGTTAGTAGTGTAGTAAAGTAAACCAAATATGTTTTCATTGATTCTTAACCAAAATGACTCTTCTTTTGTCATCCCAAACTTAGAAATCACCAATACGTTGCGAACACCTTGTCAATAGGATTTCATTAAAGAACTGTTGAAAATAAGAGCCTAAAGAATTAAGAGCCCAAAAGATTATTTTATTATATGAATTTTTTTATTTATTTAATTTAAATTAAATTTAAAAATATGTGATCATGAGTGGATATATGTGATTCATAAACATATTCATTTATTAATATAATTTATGTACTTACTAACTATCCTTCATTATCCCTGTTTATTGATCATCCTCAGAGTAAGAAAAGTGAAGAATGAAGAATTTTATTGAAAGTGTGTCAGAATCTTGATTGAATTTGATGTTCTTACCTTAATCTATCTGATTTTGCTTTTGGATAGTGTTTCATTATATCGGGTGTTCTGTTGAATTTTCCAGACTCAGAGGTTTGAAGTGTGTCACTTCAACCTCTGGAATTCCTGTCTGGGCGTTTGAAATCATTTGATTCTGCTGCAAGTTTCGTACTCTGTACTTCCATCCAGATAATTTGGTGGGGTCTCCCAACAAATCTGAGAATGAGTATGCAGTTAGCCTCTTGTCTGA